TGTGCCCGAGCGTGCCCGCCTCCTGCTCCACGTGTGGCCTTGTGGCAGCATCCAACCATGCTGTCCCCTCCCCTAGGCCACCTGCCCTGGCCCTGCAGCTCTGCTTTCTGAGCTGGGCCCCCTGGAGAGCCTCGCACACCCTGCAGGGTGGCCTTCTTCTGGTTCTGTCTTCCTTCTGAGGGCAGGGGAACCTGGGCATCCTCTGGACTGTAGTCACCAAATTCCATTCACTCTACCTTCATGTGCCCACCTGACCGACCTTTCCACCTCAGTCCCCACCTCGGCCGCTCTCTGTCATCTCTCACCAGGCTGACAGCACCAGCATGCCCCTGGCTCCCGTGCCTTCCCGTCAGTGTGTCTTCTCCACCCACCAGGCCTGGCCAGCCCCTGCTCCGGATTCCTCCATGGCTCCCCACTGCCCTACCCGCCACTTGGTGTCTAACCAGGGCTCCACATGGCCCACTTGTGTCAATGGGCCCCTGCCAAAGGCGTGACCCCTGCCTTGGCCTCGTGAGAATAACACTCAATGCCCCAAATTCAAGACAAAACAAACTGCTTGTTGGCTGGAATAGGACAAAATCCAGAACAAATTTTCATCTACCCCAATCAGTCAATGACAGTGCTATAAGCTGAAAAAGCTGGCCGTTCGGGGAAGCCCCACACCACAGAAAATGGTCATGCAGTGGGCACTGTCCAGCAGCGGACACCTGCCCAGCTCTGAGCACTCCTGGTGCTCAGGGTGGTCACTCAATTGTTTTTATTTTCAGTTTGGTTTTTTTTATCCCAAGTACTAACCAGGCCTGACCTTGGTTAGCTTCCGACATCAGATGACATCAGGCGTGTTCAGGGTGGCATGGCCATGGAATAGTTTGGTTTTTTTTCTGAAACAGGGTCTCCCTATGTTGTTCAGGCTGGACTTGAACTCATTACATCGCCCAGGTCATCCTAATGCCTCAGTCTCCTGAGGGCTGGAATCACAGGTGTGCGACACCACACCCAGCAAAGCAGCCAGCCACTCCTGAACACCACATTTCCCAACACGAGCAATGTGGTTTTCTCAGAGACACCCCTGTAATCAGCTCAGTTCTGCTTTGGCAAGACAGTCAGCTGACATGCCAACTCTCCCAAGCAGACAGCCTCACGGGCCAGGAGTTCCCCCCATGGCCACCAACACCATGCTGCTTTATACACCTTCCTGCTACCGCTTCCAGAGCCAGTTCTCCCCGGGACCCCTAGCCCCAGCACAGGCCGGGTGTGTTGGGAGCTGTGGCCAGGGCTGTTGAGATGAATGAGAAGTGCGGTTGGCAGGTACTGAAAATAAATGCTCGGCCCTGGGGGTGAGCCAGGGAGGAGAGAGGGCCCCAAGGCCCTGTGCAGACTGACACACCCTCTTTAGAAGGTTATTCTGAGTGTATAATGCAGACCAAAGTGTGCAACTCATACAGATACCTGTTTGCACGCCCGACTGGAAGGATGGCACAGTGCATGCCTGCACAGCTGCTGCCCCGGGAGGCAACGGGACACGGATGGAGCTTTAGAAGCCTCTCGATGTCAGCCCCATCACAACTTCCTTCTCCTCCAGGCCACTATTTCAATGTTTTGTTTTATTTTTTGAGACAGAGTCTCACTTTGTAGTTCAGAATGGCCTCAAACTCGTGGTGATCCTCCCACTTCAATCTCCCAAGTACTGGAATTACAGCCGTGCACCACCAAACCCAGGTTGATCCACTTTTTTAAATTTAATTTGTGTGTGTGGGGGGATGGCACTGGGGATTGAATCCAGGGCCTTTACCCTGAACCACACTCCCAACCCTTTTTTGAGACAGGCACTCACTAAGTTGCCCAGGGTGGCCCCAAACTTGTGACGCTCCTACCCCAGCCTCCCCAGTTGCAGGCATTGCAGGCACGCGCCACCACACCCAGCATGGAGCCCAGGCTGGCCTCAAGCTCCTGGCGATTCCCCTGCTGGGTCTCCTAAGTGCTGCCTCACAGGTACACGCCACCAGACCTGGCTTCCAACTTTGAACCACTACCTCGCCCCTCTTCGGTTATACCAACTATGTCAGCCTCTCTCTAATGATATCGCTCAGTTCTGGGAAGCTGTAGCTCTTAGGTGTCGGGGCAAGGGGCACAGTGTAATGGGGTGAAATGGGTGACATCACGAGTTGGGGACACAGGACAAAGACCTCCACACTGGAGAACTGGGCCAGGCTCACCCAGGCGTTTTGCCTAAGGGTTCTGAAATATGAAATAGTGGCAAGGACAACATGGGCTCTGCCTGTCCCCAGAGCCACCTCCTCTGCACTCGGGGACTCCACGCACCTCCTCTGCCCTGAGCATCCCGCATTGGGTCTTGCACTTGGATCCTTGTCTTCCTCTTTCCCGGCTTCTTCCTCTTTCCGGTTTCTTTTCTTTCTTTGGTGGAGATTTGTGTGTCTGAAGCGTCTACACATAGATTCTCACTGAGTATGCCAATGTTTTCTTGATGGTTTGGCTGGGTATAAATTCTAGGGCGGAAGTCGTTTTCCTTCCACATTTTGAAGTTATTGCTGCACTGTTTTCTTCCTACAGCAGCTGCTACTGAAAAGTCTGCAGACATTTCGTGCCATTTCCACTTGCTTTTCTCTTTAAATTCTTGCACAATGCTTTCTACCTCCAGCATTCTGAAACCTCACAGCTGTGTGGCTAGGTGTGGGTCAATTTTCACTCGCTGTGGGAGTCACCTGCTGTGTCCTTTCTCCGTGGCAGTCGCTCATCCCCTTTGGCTCTGGAGTTATGTCTTAATTTCTTTGACAGTTTATTGCCCTCCATCCTCTCTGCCTCTGAAATTTCTGTGAATAGGTCCTCTGAAGTCAAAATCTAATTTCTTCTGATCTACTTTTTTTTATTTACCATCTCTTCATTGCTTCATTCTATTCTCTCAGTTTTCCTCAGCTATCTTTCTATCATTCTATTTGGTTTTTAATTTCTGCTACTAGTTTCTGATTTCCAGTAGCTGGAATAGTGAGTCTGTTCTTTTACGTAAACTTTTGTTATATCTTGTATAATATCACGTGTGCATGTATCCCATGGGTGTCATGGCTCCTCTTATCTATCTGAGGGTAATAATGAGGGCCATTTCTCCCATTGTCTTTCCCCTGCACGTAGTTTTTGTTTGTTTTCATGGATTTGGCTTTTGTTTTTGTTTGCAGTGCTGGAGATCTAACTGAGGGGCTGCTAGGGACACTTATTTTGCTTTGGTTCAGTTTTGTGTTTTCTTTTGTTTTAGTTTTTTGGGCTTTTTTTTTTTTTGGTCTTTTTGAGACAGGGTTCCACTGTGCAGTGCAGGCTCACTATGCAGCTGAACTCACTATGTAGCCCTGGCTGGCTTCAAATTCACAGGGATCCTTCTGCCTCAGCCTCACGAGTGCCGGGATTACAGGTATGCACCACCATGGCCAGCCTATGGTCCCTGTTTTTGCCAGTCACTTTTTTGCTATTGTCTGCTTCCATCTCTTCTTTCCTCCCCAACCCCCAGTTGACACAGCAGGGGAGATGATTTACTGTACACACAGCTGAGAACAGAACTAGGCCAGCATGCCACAGGCCACGGTGGGTCCCTCAGAGGTGGTCTTGGCCATCAGGTGGCCATGGAAGTCCTAGGTCCACTGAGACACCTTCTAGACAGTGGACAGCAGCATGCAGTGGTCCCCGGCCTCCATTGCTCGTCCTGTCAGCTCCTCTGGCCTCCAGGTCACAGCTAGTGTGCATGGACCCCCACCTCCCCATCCATCTGCTGCCACCCACCTGGGCTTCTTTCTCCACTGGTTTCAAAGAAGATGGTGCCGCGGCCGAGCATCCCTTTCCTATCAGGAGCCTCCTTTGAGCTCTAGGGCTCCAGAGCTGCCTGCTCATGATAGCAAGGGAGGGATCTGAGGAGCTGGCTGGACGCTCCTTGCCCTGCACCCCAACCCTCTGGATAATTAGCTCTTCAGCCAGGGAGTCTCAGAAGACCGGCCACTGTGCACACTTCCATACCACCCCACTTGGGGACAGCTGACACCAGTCCAGGCTCCCCAGTCAGTGTGGTCACGTGACCGGCTCGAGGCAGTGCACCAGGAGCAGAGGCCACCGGCTGGCCGGCCATCATCCCCAGCCCTGGGGCTCTGCCCCCTTTTGTGGGGGGAAGCAGGCATGGAAGCTCTGTTGAAGATGGGGCACCCTGGACCCCTGAATCCCCACCCAGAGCCCCGCTGCTGCCCAGAAACACCTGCCTCTGAGATGTGAAGGACAGGAGCACGGGCCTGGCTCCAGAGTGGTCACCTAACCCGCCTACACGCCAGTCAGCAGAGCCTGCGCCCGGGCTGGGACGGAGTAACAGGGACTGAAGTCGCCTCTTCCGGAGATCGCGAAACGACCGGACAAAACAGGAGACACTGGCTCTCACCGTGCTGGACAGGCCAAGGGCAGCTGGTCACCCTGATAACAGGTGCCTTAAACCCTTTGTGGAAAAACAATGGTTTAAAAGTAAACATATATTGATGGCCCCAACAATCCTCAGCCTTTCCGTTTTCCTCCTTGCTGCCACCAGGCCATCGTGGGCAGATGACTCTCCTGTCCCTGCCAAACCGCGGAGTTGGGGCTCGGGTAGCCCTGGGCGGTGAAGAGCACCCAGCCAGGTCTCCCACCGGGCGCCTGCGGGAACGTTCCTCCTCCCCAGGGCCGGCCCTCCCGCCTCCCTCGCGGGTTGCCTAGGAAACGCCCATGCGCCCCCACCACCTCGCAGCAAGCTGGGCCTCGGAGACCTGGTCTCAGCGCAGGGAGACTCCGGACTCTGCGCAGCGGGAAGGACTCAGGGGGCCGGCTGTGGGCGGGGCCTGTCAGGGCCCGTGGCTAGTACACGGGCGTGGCCTTGTGGGAGGGCGGGGCCAAACCGCGGACGGGCCCTAGCGTAACCCGGCTCCGGGGCGTGGGCGGGGCCAGGCGGTGGGCGGGGCCGTCCCCGGAGCTGTCTCGCGCGGAGGGCGGGGCCCGCGGCAGAGGAAGATGGCGCTACGCAGGGTGAACGTCTGTGTGCCCATGGTTCCGCTGCTGCTGCTTCTGCTGCTGCTGTCGCTCGGGCCCCGGCCCGCGGCGAGCCACGGCGGCAAGTACTCGCGGGAGAAGAACGAACCCCCGCCGCCCGCTTCGCGCGAGCCGGGGGAGGAGTTCCGCATGGAGAAGCTGAACCAGCTGTGGGAGAAGGCCCGGCGGGTGAGCAGGCTGCTAGCGGGGCCGGGGCCGGGCGGGATGCTGGAGGTGGGGGGCGAGCGGGGCCGGGGCCGGGCGGGATGCTGGAGGTGGGGGGCGAGCGGGGCCCGGGAGGCCAGGGGTCACCCTCAGGGGGAGCAGGTGACAGGGGCGTTGGCGGCTCCCGCTGGGGTCCTGCAGCCCTGACTCCGCCCTCGGCCCTCAGCCTGGATCCTCGGTCCTCTGGGTGTCAGGTGTGCAGCGCCGACCTCACCTGCTCTGGGAGGGACGTGGGGGTGGCTGGGACTTGCGGAGGAGCGGGGACGGACCTCAGGGCTAAGCCCTGCCCAGGCCCCGGCCAGCGCTGCCCGCCACTAAGGGTCCACAGCCAGGGGAGCGAGGCTCCCGCAGACGCCTGCCTTGCTGGCCCTGTGGAGAAACAAGGACAGGTGATATTGGGCACAGGCGTGTCCAAGGACAGCAGAAGTCCCAGAAGTGCAGGGGGGGCCGGTAATAGGTGGGAGGGGTGGGGAGGGGTCAGAACACAAGATCAAGGGAATGCTAAAGTCAGACAGAAAGGGTATTTGACTTCCTTTTCCAGGCGAAGGTTACAAGGCCCAGGGGAAAAGGGCATCCTCAAAGTCAGCTAGGGGCTGCGCAGTTCAAACTGGTGTGACCTGGGCCCGCTGCTGTCGTTAACACAATGGTTAGGGTCCTGTTCAGGGAGATGGGGATTTAGATTGTGAGCTATCTCTCTGGGCTTCATCTCTAAATCATATCAGAGGGAGATTATCTCTTCCCTCAAGTACTGCAGCTTGCCCTTCCTGAGTTTCAGAGTAAATAATTTGCAAAGTAAGGGTGAGTTTCAGAAGGGAGAAGTGGAGAAACTTTGGCCTTAAAGGAAGAGGGGGCAGCTGGGCAAGGGCACTGGGGTGGAGAGCGGTGTTGCTTTACTGCTGCTGCTGGGCCTGCCCTTGTGGTGCTGCTGGGGCCACCCCCATACGCAGTCCTCAGCCTGCAAGGGAAAACACAGCTTTGTGGACAGGAAAGGCAGGGTGGCTTCCTGGGGAAAAGGGGCAGAGCCTCCATGTAGCAGGGACCAGGAGCTGCTGTCCCTTGGTGCCCACTGTGGTAGATGCAGTACTAGCAGCTGTTGACTGGCCAGTTTCCCCTGTAGGAAAGGTTTGAGGAATCAAGAAGACACTAGTCTGGGGATTTTAGGGGCCTCTGGTTTGCTATCGGAGCCAGCCCCAGGGCCCCTGCCTGGGCAGCTTCCCCAGACATCCTGGGAGGTCACCTGCCCTCCCGCTGCGCCTGGTCTCTGAGTTCCTGGGTCCCTGAGTTCTCCAGCGCCCGGGCCACACCGGATCTGTTTGCTGTCTGGTCACTTTTCCCCGATTCTCCACTGTTTGCAGTCTTTGCAGGGTGCCTGCTCTCCTGGCCCTGCCTGGGCTTTGCACTCCATGTTGTTTGTTCCTTTGTTCCGAGGTGGCCTTCCGTTCCAGGGTGCTTCAGAAGCTCAGTCGTATTTGCAGAGAGCCTAGTTCTGGAGGACACGCTTGCTTTTGCCGGCTTTTCGTCTGGATATGGAAGCCTTGGGTGAGGTGGGAGCTGTGTCCCACCTCAGTGAGGGGTTTTCCTACACCCAGGACATCTTCATGCTTCACCCAGGTCCTGAGGTGAACCGGAGGCCGGGGCACTGTGATCAGCACACAAAGGCAGAGTATTGTTAGTTGAACGGTTGCTCAAGCCGCTTCCTGCCCACCACCCACCTGCTGCTTTAGGTGGTCAAGACAGACGCCACTGAGGCCATTTCTGAAAAGAACTACGGTGAAGGATGGACCCGAGTCAGGTGCATCCTGGGAACCCATGTCCTCAGCCTTCCATCTCCTTTGCCCGCCAGGAGGGCTTTGCGAAACACAAAGCATTTCTTTGTTTCTGCAATCTGTCATCGGATAGGGGTCAAAGAGAAAGTACAGCACAGAGATTTGCCACCTTTTTTTCTGACCCCCTCTGAGGATGAGACCAGCCGTGAGTCTGGTACCTGGGGGCGGGGGGCTGTGAAGACATGATGGCTTCAGCCCTCCCAGCTCTGGCACCCCACCCGCACCACCTTTCCTGTTTCCTAGATACTTAGTTGAGCTGTGAACCATGTCATGGTTCTTCCCAGGCCCCTCTGTTCGTGCTGTGGTGACTCATCCAGCGTGTGACAGACGCAAGCCTGAGTGGGGACAGAGTTTGTCCTCGAGCTGTGGAGAGAGGTGCCTTGGTGTTGGCTGCCACATGCTGCTGAAGACTTCTTGGAGGCTTCTCTTTCAAAAGCTGCTGTGTGTCAGGGTGACACCGAAGGAATGGGCTTCACAGGTTCACGTGATGCCACTGCAGCAGTCAGGGCCAAGTTCCTTTCTCCTTTAGCCTGGGACCCTGGGAGCTAGACTTCCTGTTTCTTTTTTCTTCCCAGTACTGAGAGTCGAACCAGGGTCTCACACATGCTAGGCAAGTGCTCTGCCACTGAGCTACACCTCCAGCTCTTGCTTATTTGATTGTGAGACAGGGTATTGCTGAGTTTCCCAGGCTGTCCTTGAATTCGCCATCCTTCTGCCTCAGCCTCCAGAGCGCTGGGATTACAGGCATGTGCCACCACACCTGGCTCAGTTTGTATTTCTGACTGGAAAGGTGAACACCTGTCACATCTGGCAGGAAAGAAGCACAGTGTGTCCTCTGAGGTCAGGCATGTGGCCAGAGGGCAGCAGGGACCCCAGTGCCTGTCCCTGACTGTGCTTCATTTCCTGTTGCCTGTGCACTGGGAAGGGCTGGCATCACACTCCAGACAGGGAAGGCTAGCCGAGGGAGGACCAAGGCATCCTGCCTCCTCATGGTGCCTCGCACAGCCAGGCAAGCTGAGGCCCCCCTGCAGCCCTCGGGGCAGGGCAACCCCCTTGGCTCTGGTCCTTGGAGCTCAAGGGGTGGGCAGTCTCCTCAGTCGCTCTGCTGCAAGGGGAGTAAGACGGACATGATGCCGTGGTCCATGGTGTCCCGGGCAGCAAGTCAGAACCTAGCACCTCCAGGCAGGCCACTGCCTTGTCCAGGTTCAGGGTCAGTGTTGGACGCATCGCCTGGTCCTCCCCAGTGGAGCACTGCACCCTCCACTTGGCCAGATGGCTCTTGCGGGGCCTGGCGTTCCTGGGGCTGCGTCTCAAGGGGCTTGGAGCGATTGTCCTCCTCAGCTCGTTAGGGAGAGGCTGTCTTCCTTGTGTGTGTGTGTCTTGTAGATAGTGATGATTTACTCACCATTTAATATTTGACCAATTTCTTTTCTTTTCCATTGTGTATTGCTGGGAGTCACGCCCAGGACACTGTGCAGGCTAAATGTGTACTCTGCCCTGGCCCACTCCAGCCCTGACACTTCTGCTCTGCACTTGGCCCCATGAAGGAGTAGCTCTAACTTGACGCGTTAGCTTCTAGCGGGAGGAGGAGGAGTCCAAAGGCGGGGGGCCCCGGTGTGTGTGTGACCCGCTTGTCCTCTCCTTTGCGTGCAGCGGGTGGCTGCCGGTTTGGTGGCTCTGCACCGACCCTCAGCCCTGAGCTGCTCTTCGTGGACAGCAAGCAGATGTGGGGTGTGCGATGTGCAGTGTAGACACAGACGCCAGGGACCACAGAGCTGTGACTTGGGAGGGCAGGACAGTGGCACTCGTGTGGCATCCTGCTTCTACGCTCAGGGGGCACCTTCCCACATTCACCCAGGTTGCCCCAGGCCCAGGGGGTGGGGGAGGGGGACAAAGAGCCGGCTGGTCAGGGTGAGGACGAGTGGAGGCCACAGGCTGCGGATGGGAGCACTCATGCTTGAGCCTGTGAGAAAGGACTTGGGGCCGGGTTTGTCTGAGGCCTGGGTTCCTCAGGTTGCCCTTAGGCTAGGCACTAGCTGGGAGGTCAGAGGGCATCTGGCCCTTCCCTGCAGCCCCAGAGCAGGTGGGTCTGGGCAGTGGCACTGCTGGCTCTCGGTGCTGGCGGAGAACAAACCCAGAACCTCAGCCATCACTGCCCGAGGCGAGCAGGCTGGGTGCGCTGGGTCTCAGCGCCCCAAAGCAGGCTGCAGGGCTCCCTGCCGGCAGGCAGGATGTGTGTGACTCCAGTACAGGTCTGTGGTCTCATGCCCTCTCCCTGGCTTCCCGACTTCACCCACTGCCCAAGGCCCAGTTGCTGCCCTCAGAGAGCGCCCAGAGGAGATGGGGCGACAGTCATTCTGGACCTTTCTCCCAAGAGCTCTGCAGGTGGGTATCCGGGGTTCATTAGGGATCCTGGGCAGGGGGGCCAGGGAGAGGGCACCCACCAGTTCAGCCAAGACGCCTGGAGCCCAGTCCCCAGGGCAGGAGAGGCCGCAGAAGCACTTGGAGGGTGAGCTGCTCTGCTGGCCACCACACACTGGGGCCTGCTGGTGGTTTACTTTTTATCATGGGGAGCTCACCTGAGTCCTTCACCCCGGCCTGGCTGGGCACCAAGGGTCAGTGCTCAGCTGAGAACAGGAGACCTGACAAGTGCCCTGTTTGGTTGTTGGATTTTGTTCATGGGGACTTAGAGATCAAGATCTGTGACCAGGGCTCTCCTCGCTCCTGGGGTGGGCCTGGCCTGGGTGTGGGCAGTCGGGCAGGGGGCACCGGAGCGGAACGTGGGGTGCTCCGCCTGAGTCCTGGAGGCCACGAGGACTGGGCAGGTGCTGAGCCAGGAAAGGGCCCCTGCACTGGGCTTGACGTTCCCACCTTGCTCTTCCATAACCGTGTGGCTGGAAGACAGTGTGCTCTGTGCGTGCTTCTGTTGGGTTTACGTGGAAAGCAGCTGCGGGGGACAGCGGAGCTCCCTGAGGGAGAACGGTGCTGTACTGAACTAGCGGGGCGCAGATGAGCACAGTCTAACCAGCACCGCTGCAGCCAGCTTCCTGGGGACCTGGCCCAGCAGGCTTGGCTCTGGCTGTGCAGTGTGGGCCTCGGGATGGCAGCAGCTGAGCTCAGACGAGTCTGCAAGCTGTGGGGCCCAAGCCCAGCCACGCTGATGGCCTCTGCTTTGGGACGTCTCAGAGTCCCCACACTGGCAGCACCAGGGGGGCGCTATGCAGCTCTGCCACTTGGCTACCTACAGCACATGCCTCTGAACCCTGGAGAGATAGTGACACTCCTGGCTTCACCCCGGGTGTGGCTTGTCAGTGGTTGGGTCAGAAGCAGAAGCCAGAGTTGACAGTGCTGCAGCCTCTGTCTGTCTGTCTGTCTGTCTGTCCGTCTGTCTTTGTTTCTTTCTTTCTGGCACTGGGGATTGAACCCAGGGCCTTCTCACTGAGCCGTATCCTCGGCCCCTTTTTTAAACTTTGAGACAGGGTCTTGCTAGGTCACTAAGTTACCCAGGCTGGGCTTGAACTAGTGATCCTCCTGTCTCAGCCTCCCGGAGTGCTACAATGATGGGCATGCACCACCGTGCCCAGCTATCCATCTTTAAAAGCCAAAAAACAGCGTGCCCGAAGCCCACCTTCCTCTTACGAGGTGTCACTGAGTGGGGTGGGGTGGGCAGGGGCTGGCTGGGGCAGGGGAGCAGCAGAGGAACTGACCCTCGGCCTGGCAGCACAGGTGGGCCCAGGTGAGGGGCGGATCATTCCTGCTGGGAGGGGTCTGGTCCGTGTCCGGAACATCTCGGGTTCCGACGTGAGGTATTTAGAGGAGGGCACTGCTGTCGCAGGGACCGCAATTCTGGGACTTTCGTAGGCCGCACTGTGTCTGTGTTGTCTTCCCTTTGCCGGGCTGAGTTCCAGTGTCCAGCACGCAGCCCGTCACCGGCACTGCTGGGTCTGGCCAGCACCCTGGGGCAGCCATGGCTATGGCGGCTTTGGTTTGGGATGGTAAGATTTTACTTGGAGACCCAGGCTGTGGCTCGGTGGTAGAGCCCTTGCCTCGCGTGTACCAGGCCCTGGGTTCTGTCCCAACTCCGCAGAGGGGCAGAGTTTTGTCTGATGTTTCCCATACGCTCACCTCCTGCTCTCGGGGGGCTTACTCCCTTCACAGCTCTGCGGCGCAGGGTGACGAGCAGATGCACGTCCTCCCCACACCCTGCCTTGTGCCCCTGCGCCTTCCCTCCCCACTTTCCTGGTGTTGTCACCAGGTGTCAAAGTGCAGAGGTGGGACGCCTATTCCAGGAGCCTGGCCGTGGCGGGTGCGTGCAGCTGAGCCATTCCCAAATCAAGTTTCTGTCGCTTCTCAAGCCGGCTCTGTGTCCCAGAGATCTCGCCCACGAATACATGAGGGATTTTGAGTGCTGTTGTCACTGACCCAACACTATTTCCCCGGGTCACCCGGGAGCTCTTGGTGGCCGCCGTGCTGCAGGGCAGTCTCGGGCCCTGTCTGCAGGTCCCCCAGGCGGCTATCACACACTGCCCTCTTCTCGTCACAGCTGCATCTCTCTCCTGTGAAGCTGGCCGAGCTGCACGCCGATCTGAAGATGCAGGAAAGGGATGAGCTGAGCTGGAAGAAGCTGAAGGCGGAAGGGCTGGACGAGGACGGGGAGAAGGAGGCCCAGCTCCTCCGCAGCCTCAACGGTGCGTCTCCCCGGTCAGGAGGCAGCTGCGCGGCCTCCGTGGCGCTGGCTTCTTATGGCTGACGTGAGGTTGGGGGCCAGGCTGAGGGGGCATGGGGGCATCAGCTCTGCTCCAAGGATGGCACTGTCGCGTGGTCTCAACCCCAGTGCTGATTGCTGAGTGGAGTTGGCAGACCAGACCCAGGGGCAGGGGCCTCATGGGAGGTGGGCACACAAACAGCCCGAGGCCTGGGGCCACTGGGGTGCGGGCGGACTGGAGGGGAAGCAGGCTCGTCCCAGCTTGTGTTCAAGGGCGGGTTTCAGATGTTAGGAGTTGCATCGTGACATTGGAGGGACTGTGACAGGCGAGGTGATGAGTCCTCCTCCCCGTGGGTATTCAAGACAGGCAGGGTACTCACCTGCCCCATGAGGGACTGGAGGGAGGGGACAGGGTGAGGGACAGGAGGCCTGGCCGGCACGGGCACAAGGGGCGGGCACATGGGCTCAGAAGTCAGGGCCCGGCTCTGTGCTGTGCATCGTGAGCTGTGTGCCATATCCATGGCGGGGTCAGCTCCCAGGCTGCCCATCGTGTGCTGGTGGCAAGAGGCGCAGAGGGCCGGGGGCCAGGGCATCCCGCCTGGGTAGCCAGCATGCTCTGACTGCCCCTAAGCTGAGCTGCTGGCACTGCCATCCCATCCTGTATCGAGCACTCCACCCCACGCACTGCCCACCCCCACGCACTGTCCTGCTCTGTCCACGCTGGGCTGTGCAGGGCCGTGTTCCTGTGAGTCCATGCAGCTGGCCGGGGGCACAGTCCTGCCCTGACAGCACCCCTGGGGTGCTAGTCTCAATGCTAGTCTCAATCCCACCAGACCTGTGTGGGGATGGAGGGAAAGTTCCAGAAGGCGAGGATCAAACTGTCTCATTCCCTGGAGCGGCCAAGACAGCTCACCGGCCGCTCCTCCCCAGTCATCCTGGCTAGGTACGGGCTGGATGGGAGGAAGGACGCACAGGTGGTGCACAGCAACGCGCTGGCCAACGACGCCCAGGACGACGCGCTGGGTGACCCTCGGCTGGAGAAGCTGTGGCACAAGGTACCTCGATTCCCCACTTCCGGGAGTTGCCCTGAGGGTGTCAAGGTGGAGGCATGGCGGGGGGGAGTCATCTCGGGTGGATGCTAGTCTTCTGTGGTCACTGTCTCCTGTGAATCGTCCTGCTTAGAATGTTCCTGCCCTCTCCACAAGGAAGTCTGTTCAGCTTATAGATGGTAGAGCTACAGGTGTTAAGAATGTATTTAGAGCTAGCCATGGTGGCGCATGCCTGTAATGCTAGCACTCTAGGAAGCTGAGGCAGAAGGATCACAAGTTCAAGCCCATCCTAGACAACTTAGCAAGACCTTGTCTCAGAAACATTTTAACAGGGAGAGTGGATGCTGGGGTTGTAGGTCAGTGCAAGACCTGGGTTAAATCCCCCGGACACCAGGGGGAAAAGGCTATTTATAGAGGGTTACAGCATATTTCTTGAGCCATGCCCAGGTGTGGCTGAATTCTTTACTTGCATCTGGTACTATAGGCCAGCTTCTGTGGCTAGGAAAGGTGCCCTTGGTGAGGGACTGTCTGTCTGTCTGTCTGTTGTTGCTGTGCCTGGGAGGGATGCGGTGCTGGGTTGCCCAGCTCTTTCCTTTGGGGTGCAGACGTCCAGGTGGGGAATGGGCACAGGCTGAGCTTGAGGTGTGCCATGGTCTGTTTGGCCTGTTGCCTCCTGTCCTGGGCCAGAGCAGCCTTCCTGGCACATACTGCCATGGGCCTGTGCATTGGGACCTGTCTGACTGAGGTGCTGTGAGGTAGAGGGGATAGGAGGAAGAGGAGGTGGAGACGGTCCGAGGCAGGTGGGGTGATGAAGGACTGCCGCACGTCCCCTGGGGAGGTGGGCCTTCTGTCCTCACCAGGCAGAGCTGGGAGAGCTGGACACCTGACCAGCGTGGTCACATGCCCCCTTCCGACTCTGGGCACCTCGCGGAGGCGGGATGGCACCCCCAGCTCCTCACTGAGCTTGGGGTTGGTTTTCCGCACTGCCCAGTAAAGAGTCAGAGACTGAGAGAGGCGCGCAGGGCCTCGCGTTGCACTCTGCCAGGGTCCTGCCCGTCCCTGGAGTGGTTGCCCGATGGGGCCCAGGCTGCCCTGTGAGCAGCTGGAGCCCCAGGGTGCTCAGCCTGGTGCCTCCCTCTCAGGCGAAGACCTCGGGGAAGTTCTCCAGTGAAGAGTTGGACAAGCTGTGGCGGGAGTTCCTGCACCACAAAGACAAGGTCCACGAGTACAACGTGCTGCTGGACACGCTGAGCAGGACGGAAGGTGCGGGCCTGGTGGGCACTCCTGCTAGCCAGCACTGGCCCTGCATGGTGCAGGCAGGGACCTGGTAGTGGGGCGCACCGTGTCCGTCTCTCGGGTTCCCCGGTTCTGTGAGTGCAAAGGCACCCTTAGTCACTGTGCACATGCAGTTGGTCGGTGGGACACTGCTCTGCAGATTTGGGTGGCTGTGCTCACTGTCAGTGACCTCGCTCCATGCACTTGACGTATCCACCCACTGACTGGTGTGGCCTCCTCCCCGGTGGAGGACCCTGAGAAGGTCAGCGCTGACAGAGGCGGGTGTGTCGGTCAGCTTTCCTATCTCTGGATGCAGGTCCCAGCGCCCACAGTTCAAAGGAGGGGAGGTGTATCTGGCTCACAGTCCCAGGGCCTTCAGTCCATGGCCGGCTGCCCCAAGGCAGGCCCCGTGGTGGAAGGGCCTGGGGGAGCAGAGTTGCTCGGTTCACGGCGGTGACAACAGAGCAGGGAAACAGCGCCAGAAAGGAAGGGGTGAGGGGCCGCCGGTAGTCCCCAAGGACACCCTTGGCTCCCCGACACTGGGGACCGCAGGCCTGGGGTGCGGCCCTAGGATGTGGGTACAGGGACACGGTCTCTGCAGGGGCGCCTGGGGATGGCGGGCCTGCAGCATGCGGTCTTGTGTTTGGAGGCCATGTCAGCCCGCCGTCACTGTCCAGCCGCTGTAGGGCAGCTGAAGGAGCTACTCTGAGGAGAGGACTGGTCTGTCTGACCAAGTACAAGCTGTGGTTTGATTCCCCGCAGCAGAGATACTGACTGGGCTGTAGACGCTCAGCTCTTTTTTTAGAGCACATCAGCGAAACTGAACAAAGACATTCATTTTGGGACACTGGTACGTGCATGTCACGTACTCTGAATATTTCCATCCCGTCACCCTCAGCTCCTTTTCCTCCCTCCTCGGCCCCTTCCCCATCTCCCAAGGTCTACCCATGGTTTCCAGGAGGATTTTTGGACTCGGGGTGTGACCTGAGGCCACACTCGGGCAGAGGGGCCCCAGCTGGCCTCGGTGCCATCGGTCCCTTGTGTGGGCTGGGGTCCTCACCAGGCTCTGCCCGTGTCCACAGAGGCCTACAACAACGCCATCGGCCCCATGGACCTGAGCCACAGCAAGAGCGATGTCCTGTCCAGCAAGCACAGCGAGCTCAAGGAGAAGCTGCGGAGCATCAACCGGGGCCTGGACCGCCTGCGGAAGGTCAGCCATCAGGGCTATGGCCCCACTGCAGGTGAGCCGCGCCCCTCCGGGGCACCAGGGGGCACATCACACCCGCAGCCTACCGGCAGCCCTGCCCCTGACATTGGCAGGGGTGGCAGCAGTGGCCCCAGGTGGCAGCCTCTTCCAGGCTATACCCCCCCCTTGACCTTTGTCCTCTGTCGTGTTCCTCTGCCTCCCTCAACCCTCGCGGCAGGCACGTGGGCTCACACCACCACCTCTGGGCTGCCTCAGCCTGGGTGTGCCCTGCACCCTGGCAAGCTCACGTCTGCTCTTCTGCAGAGTTCGAGGAGCCCCGGGTGACCGAGCTGTGGGACCTGGCCCAGACGGCCAACTTCACGGAGAAGGAGCTGGAGTCCTTCCGGGTGAGGAGCTGCCGGGCGCCCCCCCCGTCCTGCCTCCAGGGTGGCCAGACACTGCCATCTTGTCCTCTGCCACACGGCCCACGCAGTCATCCCAGCCCTTTGCCTTCCTGTGCCAATCTGCGACCCAGACGCCCTGTGCGCAGCCCAGTGGGACCATGTGTACCATCCAGGCTGGGCGCAGCCTTGGGGACTGCCGTGACAGGGGTGATGGGACACTGAAAGGAAGGTGGCCGGGGTGTCTGTGACTGACGCGTCCCGAGAGGAGGTGATGAGTCTCTGTGCCAGGCTTCGGGAAGGGCGTGACTCCCTCATCCCGTGGTGACACTGGGCAGGGCCTCAGCTCCAGGTCACCCTGGGTGCTGGGGTCACGTGAGGATGAGGGGTGGGGCAGGTGGCCTGATGCTTCCGGTGCGGAGAGGGGGCGCTGCAGGGGGCCTGGCCCAGGTAGGCCCCGTGAGATGCAAGGCCACTGCACGTTGGGGGTGTCCTGCGCCTGTGTGCAGGAGCACGGCGGGGGCTCGTAGGTCCTGCTGAGCCCACGGGTGAGTGGGAGCTGGCAGGAGCGAGGTCGGCAGGCGGCTGTGAGAAGCAGCAGCACTGGGCGAGGAGAGGAGTGGCGGGGGCCACGGCCACTGCCACGGTCACACATGGGAGCAAGGTGGACCTAGGCCAGCCTCGTGGAGCTGGAGCCTCTGTGGCCTGGCAGCGGCCTCACCCCGAGAGGAGGGGCAGGGCTCCCCTGGATCTGGGACACCCTGTACCCCCTTGAGCTGGGGCTGAGGCCGATGTGGGGTGGTGGCCTCCTGAGGCGGTAGGGGGGTGATGCCAGGAACTGGGCTCGTGTCCAGGTGGGGAATCAGAGGTCACCATGGTTACCCTGGAGTCTGGGGTCAGCCTGTGCGTGGGGCCGGGGCCAGGGCCAGGGCCAGAACAGAACCCACACATGGTGAGGGTGCAATCCCCAATCCCAGGCACAGCGGCCCAGGTGGTCAGTGCAGCGAAGAGGAAGGGACAGCCTGAGGGCGAGCCCCCAGGGTGGGGACGGCGGTCCTCCGAGGCTGTCAGGTTTGAGCAGGGCCCCTGGGGACCTGGAGGACCTGTGGAGGAAGATGAGTCGCTGAACTCTCTTCCAGGAAGAGCTCAAGCACTTCGAAGCCAAGATTGAGAAGCACAACCACTACCAGAAGCAGCTGGAGATCTCGCACGAGAAGCTGAGGCACGTGGAGCGCGTGGGCGACCAGGAGCACGTCAGCCGCAACAGGGAGAAGTACGCACTGCTGGAGGAGAAGACCAAGGAGCTGGGCTACAAGGTGGGCACCGGGGCGGGCGTGGTGCACCGCAGCTGGGGAATTGGGCATGATCCCGGGGGGCCAGGCCATCCCACAAAGAGAACCCATATTCTCCCAGTTACCTACCGTGTCGCTACTTCAGGGCCGTGGACAGGACTGGGGCTGGCTGCCACTGCTCGGAGGTGGCATGTCCTCCTCACAGCTGTCTGAAGGGCACAGGGGGAGCCTCACCTCCAACCCAGCCCCACGGGCCACCCAGGATCTCAGGGACGTCCCAGCAGGGGCCACTATGGCGCCAGCTGTGCCTGGGCCAGCTGCTCTGAGCCTCGAAGCTCAGGACAGCGGCTCGGGCTGGAGGTTCACTGCCGGCCCCGCCCTCAGCGACCCTGCACACCTCCGACCTCCGACCCCAGGTCTCCGCTGATGGGGCATTTTTTCCCATGGCCAGGGCCAGCCGGGCTCCTAGCGGGTGGCTTTAATGTCCTTTGGCTGATCAGAATCTGACGAGTTCTGTGGGGGCTGTAGTCATGCCAGCAGAAGAGAGCACGCAGGGTCCCGCTTCACATGCTTCCTGTGGCACTGCTCGCCGTGCCGTCCCTGGCTGACGAGCGTCCCCGTCACCCGCAGGTGAAGAAGCATCTGCAGGACCTGTCCAGCAGGGTCTCCAGGGCGCGACACAACGAGCTCTGAGGCCGGCACCAGTGGTGGAGTCGGCGCAGAGGGCCCAGGGCTCTCCCGGTGTTGTCTGTGCGGGCAGACCCGGAGTTACAGTGGCAGGTGGGGCCCAGCGCCGCAGCCAAGAGGACCCCTGTGGATGCGTCTCAGACCCATGACCTGGCCCACCTGAGGCTGACAGGTTTCCTGTGCTGTGAAGCAAACAAAGCCGGCACCACCGGGGGGGGGGCCTTGAGGTCCAGCTGCCATCAGGTGTGACGATCCTCGGACAGTCCATGTCACAGTCCTGCAAATTTGCCACTGGAAATGTTACACAGAGTCCTTAAAACACGTGACAGTCTGTGACCGTCATTGTCTGGTCTCTCATAGTTGGGGCCACGCTTTCTGGGGCCAGCGTTCCTGGGCGTCTCACCCTCTCCTGTCCCCAGGGCTGTGCAGTCCCCACCCTTCCCGGTGGCACAGCCTGGCCTGCTTTAAATCCGGGTGCCCTTTGGAGCTGAGGTCTTGGGACCAAGTCGGTGGAGACCATCCCACAGCCCCAGCAAGGGCCTCTGGCAAGGTGCTTCCTCCCCTGCTCTGCAGCTCCAGGGGACCGGAGACAGTGCCGGGCCCCGGGGGAGAAGGGCCTCCAAGACGTTTCTGTGACATCACAGCGGACCCCTGGCCTTGCGCAGGTCAGAGATCGGAGCCCAGCTCTCGGGTGGAACCTGGAAGCCACCTGACCATATGTGCTGGGTTTGCCGGCAGCTGGGTCTCAGCTTGCAACCCAGCACCGGCAGCCAGCTGCCCCTGAGGAGAAACGCTGAGGCCAGCGGCATGCTGGGAGCGCACAGCAGGGGCAGGGGTGCAGGGGTGCAGGGCCCTCACAGATGAGGGACTCAGGAGGCGGGTGACTTCCTCACCTGCATGCTGTCTGCCGTAACCCGATCTGCCGGGATGTCCCCACAGCCCCCCAGTTCCTCCAATTACTTTCTTTCCTCTGAGTCTTACTTCGGCTTCCACTGTTTCAGGCCTTGGGTTCAAGCTCAGCCCCACTGTGCACACGTGCGCGCACATACACACACGCAGTGCCCACGTCAGTCCGCCATTAAAGCCCTGCAGGCTTGTCGGGTGGAAACTGAGAAGCAGACCCAAGCACGTCCGTGTGAACACACAGGCTGTGAACAGTGGCCGGAACCCAAGCACAGGGAAACGAGCGTGGCCTGATGTCCACCCTCACTGCACAGCCACTGGGGAGGGGCGTGGCAAGCGCGCGGGACAGGCGGAACCGGCGTGGCTGTGGGATGTCTGAGGACGGATGTGACACTGAGTCAGGAGGCAGAGAGGAGGGGACGGACGGATGGGCCAGTCGAGGAGCTGAGGTCCGCAGACTGCTGTGACACGAACGGCAGCACAAAGTGGGGTCGTCCCCCAGGGCTGCGTGCAGAAGGGGTCCCTACGCTGCCCTGCCGCAGCCTGGGTGGGCTAGACACACACACACACACACACACACACACGAGCGTGCACACTACCCAGCTCCAGCCATGTGATACCCAAGAGCAAGGAAACCGCCGTGGTGCGGTCAGAGCCCGGCTGCTGCGGGAGCAATGGCTTTGTGGGCTGAAGGTGTCCTGGGTGTGGCTGTGACTATGACAGTCGGCTCTCACGGGCCTGAGTGTGCAGGCTGGCACGCTGTCCTTGGCTCCCACCCCTCCTTGTGTGCAGGTACGGAGTGCCCTAAGCAAGACCGAGAAGCCCCAAACGACGGCTGTGTACCAACTTAGCAAGACCCTATCTCAAGATTACAGTGGTTTTAACTAAGTGAAGTTTGTTGGTACATCTTAGGTATACACAATGATCACATTCATCATGGGGGGTTTGCTCCAGTACATGATATGACAAGATAAAATTTTTAAAAAGATTGTGCATGCAGTTCAGTGGCAGGGTGCCCCTGAGTTTGATCCTCGGTACTGAAGAAAAAAAAGTTTAAAAATGTAGAGGGTAGCAGTCTGAAGAGGACTGCAGAGAGCACAGAAGGGGTAGGGGGGAGTCACCCGGAAACGGCTGTAATGAAGGGGGAGTGTCCAAGGTGCTGGGCTGTGGGGCGCAGTGAGGACAGCGATGGTGAGAATTGTAACTCGTAGGAGCAGTGGAGGCCAAGGAGAGGGGGCCAGCTGTCACAGCCAGGGTCACAGGGCGCCACTGTCCCACAGCAGTGGCTGAGTTGCAGGGAAATTGGCTGCGGCCAGCACTTACGCAGGGAGGGATGCTCTTTTTTTTTTTCTTTTTTTTCTTTTTTTTTTTTTTTTGGTACCAGGAATCAAACTCAGGACCTTGTGCTTGCCAGGCAGGCGTTTGTGCCACTGAGCTGTATCCCCATCCGGCGGGGAGGATGTAGACGTTAATCTGAAGCATGTTAGTGTCAGATCTGCCCCTTTCTTCAGTTGCTGCTGGAGAAAACATTCGTAAAACAAAAACGCAAGAAAGAAGATGGGACCCCTAACAAAGAGGACCCAACCCGAGAGGCGCCCTGGGTCCCCGCACCTGGGGATGGGGAGGTCAGGTGCTTCTGGAAGAGACTTGGCAAAGTAAGCGATGTGGCGGGCCGCCACGCGACGCCTGACAGGAAAGCTTTGCAATTAAGGAGGCACCGGCTGCCTGTCGACGATGAGTGCAGAGAAAGCTGCGTTCCGGGGAAAAACGAGAATCGAGTGAGAAAAATATGACAGGGAAGTGCAAAAGGAAATACGGTGACTGTGGACATTTTTGAACATTGATGACAGCGAATGACACACGTCCATGAATCCCCAAGTCCTCCGCACTTGGAACGCACTCCTCGTCGTTCTTGTCCCTGTCTGCAGCAGCTCTGGAGTCCTCTACTCGTGGTTTCAGTTGTGCTGTCCCGGCGGCCTCAGCGTCCTGAACTGATCCAGAACTCTCCTCCTGGCCTCCTGACCTCAGGGAGGAGCCAGAAGTTGCACAGGGCCCTGACACCGGGCAGCAGCGCACCTTGTAGACACATGGGAGAGAGGACTCCAGAGCCGCTTCCGACCGTGAGAACCATGGGCTAAGCCAGTCCCAGGCGAGCAGGAGGGTGTGAGGGGATTTATGGCAACGTGTCTGTCACTGTAATAATGTTTTAAATGTCAGCTTTCCCCATAGTTTTCCACCGCCCGTGTACGTGACCTTGCCCCCTCCTCAGTAGGGTCTGCCGCACCCACTGTGGCCAGCGGGAGAACCTAGTGAGCAGCAATGCCGGCGCTGCGCCGCGGCATGGGGCCCCCGGGAGACCTGGGAGCAGAACCCAGACCACAAGTCTCGAAACAGTGGACAGCCACAGCGGGGCCCAGGGCAGAGAGGGCACTGACCTTCCTAACCTTGCAGATCTGTCTGACTCTAATCTTGAGAAATACATTGCTAATTTAAAACTTGACAATGTGTAAGCCATTGTTAGTGTCTGATCCACAGCCTGGTGGAAGATAGAGGACGCAGATCCCCAGGGGAGGCCCTGAGGGCCAGCGAGCCTGCGTCTCCACAGCTGTGGCTGCAGAGCTCTCCCGCCCCACACGCGGAGGGAGGTGAGAATAAAGCCTCCGCCGTCACTTCACGCCCACCCCGTAGCAGAAGTAACATCCACCTAAACCTCAGGGCTCGCCCACGCTCAGGTGCCGTACGCCTACCTCTGGTTAGGAATACAGAATTTGGCAAAAATCTAGGAAAGTCAGTGATGTGCACCCCCATCCTCCCATGCCGTCCCCGCCTGGCGGAAGCTGAGGGGGCTCACAGCGGCTTCACAGCACCAGCCGCCTGGGCTACTGCACCCGTTAGCGATGCCTGAGGTCCAGGTGCTCATGGCACCGCTGGACCGGGATCCGAGTATATGGCTTCAGTCCTGGACGCCCAGCCTTCCCGCGGCTCAGGCGCCAAGGGAGACCCAGGCTGGGCTCCTGCTCTGACCCTCTGCTCTGAAGGCGGGGCAGCAGCATCGAGGCGGGGGCGTGGAAGGGCAGCCGAGTGGCCAGCACGGCCAAGAGGACATGGGCAACACAGCAGACCAGGGAAGACTGCCCCGTCTGGAGGTGAAGGCCAGGGTCCCGGAGACCTCACAGCCCACAGGGAGCCATGTCAAGGTCCAGCAGCTTTGCAGATGGCTCTGCCCCCGGTGGCTCTGTCCTCAAGGAGCTCTCTGGCCTCCATGGCTGCCAGGCCTGGCAGTCGCCTGCTGTCGCAGAGCAGCCCCCACCAAGACAGCCCACCCCCCACTCCCATGCCCCTCGCCGGAGCCTGTGTCCCTGGACCTCTGCGACCTCAGCCAGGTCTGACTGAGCCTGGAGGGTACGCTGGCCCTCACCACACTCTGCAGGTGGACGGTCCCCTGGACCAGCACGATGGCCACGCTCTGCCCACACTCAGCGTGAGTCAGGGTTGGGGGGTCCCTCCAGTCCGTCGGGGTGACCTGTCCCCCACCACTGACCTCTCCTTCTGTCTGCCCCGCTCAGTCAAGGCAGCATCAGCTCAGGAGATGGGCGGGGCAAGAGGGCTGGTCAACCGGAACCGCAGGCTCGGCCGCTTTGCGTCCCCATGGGCAGCTCACCACAGGCCCACCGGATGCCAGGGGCTCCCGGGGGCAGGGATGAAGGTGGACAGATGGGGATGTGGCCGGCTGTGGGAGAGCCTCTACCCCGTCAGAACATCCCCGCAGCTCTGAGTAAGGGAATCCCACAAAGGCCCCGGGGGGAGACCCCAAGCGGAGCCTCCAGGGGCGCCTCCTCCTTCCCGCACCCCCAGACCCAGCATGAAGATGTCAGGCCAAGTCTGGGGCAGAAACCACACAAGGAGGACGTCAGGCCTTCGGGCAGGGGCTGTGCATTGCTCAAGTGGAAGTACTGCTCCCCCTTTCCGCGCTGGCTGTGGGGCCTGAGCAACACAGTGGTGAGCACAGCGCAGGTCCCACAGGCTCCCTCACGGGTCCGCACGCCTTCTGTCCCCTGCCACCTCGGCCCAGGCCCAGGGTACCCTGGCCTGAGGGAGGGAGAGCCCTGGAGTGGCGCAGAGAGGACAGGGCCGGGGTGGGGCCGAGCGGAGCTGCGTGTCCCAGGCCGGGAGCAGAGGCCGAGGGAAGGTAGGGCAGGGAGCCGGCCTGCCTTGGCGTCTGCAGCCCCGCATCTGGAGATTCCCGCAGTTCTCTAGAGCGCAGCATGGTCTCAGCATACGCTCCAGATTCACCCGGTGGCCACAGCCCAGGTGACACCTGAGGGCGGCCCTCAGGGACAGCAGGGGAAGAGGAGTCCGAGCTGAGCTGTGGGTTCTCCCGCTGGAATGAGCAGGCACGGCCCAGAGCCTTCCATCCCGTCACTCCGGGAAGCGGGGGCCAGCAGAGCCTCCCCAGCAGCCAGGATGCCCGTCACAGCCTCGGCGAGCACTTTGAGACAGAGGCCACCCCGCTCGATGCCCACCCGCGGGGCCTCACTGCGGGGCGCCTCTCCTGCGCTGCTGCAGCTCGGACAGCCGCTCCTGTGCGTGCTGGGCCCCGGCTCGATGCGCCGCCTCTGTGGCTGCAATGTCGATCTGCGCGTAGCGGGAGGTAGCGGCCCCTGTGGGCAGCCTGGGGTGAGTGGAGTCGCCCACCTGGAGCCACCACTCTGCTTCCCAGCCCCACCTGGGACCCGCTGCCCCTCACACCAGCCTCCCAAGATGCCAGCAGAGGATGGCACACAGACAGCAGGAAGAGCCCTGGCTGGGCAGGGCCCCCGTGCCCACCTCGGATGCCTGTGCCGCCCTGCTGGAGCTCCAGCCCCATGTAGTGCAGCTGCGGCCGGGAGGAGGGGCTGACCGGGATGTTCACGTAGGCGGGCGTCTCTGGAGACCCTGGCCCTGGGAGTCCTGTGGGGGAGGGGCTGTGAGTTCCCAGGAGGTGGCCAGAGCTGTGCCCACCCCAGGGCCGGTTCAGCCCCTCCCAGCGCCCTGCATTTCCCTGTGCCTTGGACCACCAACCCCTGTCCCTCCCTTGGCCCCGGCTCCTGAGGGCCTGAAGACACAGCTGAGCCTGGGGATTCACACACGGCCCCAGAATTCCGAGCCCCGGTCCTGGGCGGGTCCTGGCCCTCCCGTCGACGCCCAGGTCCCCTGGGTCAGCCAGCCACCTCCCTGACGCCGGCCCTCAGCCCACACGGCCCACTGCCCCGAAAGGCTGAGGTGAGGCTCGTGCCCTGTTTGCTCCCAGTGGGGAGACAGAGGCAGAGACCCAAGCTCCTGGGTCACTTGGGGCACAGCCAGAGGGAGCCAGGCCAGCGTGGTTCTCCTACTTCATTCGGTGCACTGAAGTGACTGGCCACTCCCCTGTCCGCCCAGCTGGGGCCCGGGATGACCCTCCCCCAGCATGGCCCTGCCCCTGGCCCCTGAGGATGCTGAGGGCCCAGGACCCAGACCCAGGTGCTAAGGCCACCCAGCGCCCCCACACGTAGACACATCATCTGGAAGTGGGGGGTCGTGTGGGACTGATAGGCATGCAGGGGGTGCCTAGGCTCTCTGCAGCAGAACCCAGTACCCAGAGCCCACCACCATCCCGACATCCAGCTTTCAGCCCAGACCACGGACGGGCTCAGGGCGGGGCCTACCTGGATGTGCCAGGGTGAGTCCCGGGGGTGAGGCTGCCACACCCTAGACCAGAAAGAACACGGGTCAGCACAGCCACCCACTGTCCCTGCACTGCCTCTGCAGCCCCACAGGCAAGCCAGCCCGAGGCCAGCACTCTGTCCTCCAGGCCCTGTGGCCCAAGGAGAGCCGGAGACCTGGGACGCCTGGAGCGTGGGTGTGACCCGGGCCACTGGGCACACTGGGGCTTCAAGCCCTCGCTCCCTGCCCCATTTTGCTGATGGCTTTGTTGGAACACACGCCCGTTGCTACACAGACCGAGGGCCCACAGTGCTCGCGGCCTCTGTGCAGCGGCCCTGCTCTAAAGAGCATGGGAGCCTGGAGGAGGTGACAGTCACCGCAGCGCACAGTGTCCTCTTCGGGCCCCAACGTGGGCAGTGCCTGGCTAGGGAAGGAGCTCAGGGCAGTGTGTGGGCAGGACGGGGAAGGAGGCAGTGGCCGGTGACCCACCTGGGACTGCAGACACCCCAGGTCCTCTTTGGCAAAAGGCCCATGGTGGCCAGGACCCTGGGCCATGTGGGTGACAGGAGTCCCAAGCTCCTGTGGGTGGAACCTGATAGCCAGGCCCCGTGGGAGCCTGGGGGGCTGGAGAGGGGACCTGGCACCAGCTCTGACCCAGGCCAGATGCGAGGAGCTTGTTTTAGCCCCAGGTTGGGGCCCAAAAGACTGGGACACCCCCCAGCCAGCCAGGTAGTCTGACCATACAACAGCCCGTGCAGGCACAGGGACCTGGGGGACGAGAGGCAGACACCAGAGCCCATCAGATAGCCCGCCTTGCAGGGCACTCAGCACAGGAGACAGCACCTGCTTGCCCCAAGAGCCTGTCACCCGGCAGAGGCTGTGTCCTCAGCTGCTCAGGGAGGCCCGTCCTGCCGGGCCACGTCACCCCCTGGCTGTGTGCCAGTGCACCAAGGCAGCCCAAGCACACATAGCCCCCCGGCTCCCCACATCTGGGCCAGCACAGGAGGTCGCTGCGCAGCCCCGAGAAGCTCCTCCCATCGGCACCCTCCCCGCAGAGGAGCCGTGGAGGCTGGGCTCTGAGCACACGGCCGACCAGGGCCTCCAGGCCACAGTGGGAAGACAGTGGATGAGGGACACGGTCCCCACTCTGTCTATGGAGAAAGAATGTCTGAGGACCCCACCCAGCCCCAACAGGTGAGACCCCACCCCACACCCGGGGCCTCCAAGGGCCTGGGGAACACCGCATGCTTGCTACCGGGCCCAGGCCTTCCTCCCGACGCACCCTATTAGGTGAGCTACCGTGGCCCTCCACACCCTCCACACCCCACCCACCCAGGTCCTGCAGCCAACCAAGGGCGGACACAGGCGCCCCACAGCCTGGCTCCTACCCTGCCCCCGCCAACTGGGTGCCCTTTCCTGCCTGCTGCAGGCAGCGACCCAGGCAGCACAGCGAGGAGAGTTCGGGGAGGGAGGGGCTCTGGCCAGCTCCCCACTGCTTGTGCAGGAAAGGCCCCGCAGCCCCGGGAGGACTCCTACCAGCACGCATCAGACCCATGATGGGGGATGGTCACCCCATACGGGAGAGGAAACTGAGGCTCAGAGAGGTGTAGTGACTTGTGGGCCACTCAGCCAGCAGGGAGAGGGGATGTGGCCCAAGCTCGACCCCAAACCTGCCCGCCCCACATGGCAGCCGCAGGATCCCTGGGCTCCCAACGGCCGGGCAGACAACAGACCCGGGCTGCCCAGGACTCAGAGGAAGCAGGTGGGAGCACGGGCTCCAGGTTCAGAGCCAGCGCCTCTGCCCCCGACCTGACACGTGCACACATGCGTGCACACACACTCATACATGCACACACCCCAGGCCTAGGCTGCAGCCCTAGACCTCAGTCCTGGTCACAGCCCCATAGCAGGACCAGGGCGGGGAGGCGAGAGGGCTGGCCACACGGAAAGGACACGGCAGTATGAAAAGAAAACTTTATTTCCAGTCTGAGAACGTATTACAAACTGTCAGATTTTAAAAATAGAGCAGAGCAACAACACGGTCGGTGGACAGTGCAGGTGCAAGGCCAGGTGTTTACAGGGGACCGGGCCAGGTTGGCCACTGGGACCACAGGGCGTGCAGGAGGGCTGGGCACAGCCAGCCGCTGACACCAGTGAGAACGGCTCTGTGCCACACCATGCGGGGGCGCAGACCCGGGCAGGGGACTGGAGGCTCTGGGAGCCCTGGGAGCCCCAGCTTCCTCCGCTGGTCCTGACACCAGCTCCCTGGTGCCAGCAAGAGGGTGCAGGAGGAGGTGGAGGGGATCCTGGGCAGGCCGAGCCTGGGCCTGGGGGAAGGCTCCCCCTCCCCGCCCCCCTGCAGGAAAAGGCTGGTGCGGGGCCACAGTGGGGTCCCGGTCACTGGGACGCAGACCCCACAAGTCACGGGGCCTCCTGAGCATCAGTTTCCCCCTCGCGGATGGGAGGCCGGGCCCCGCTGCGGGCGCTGCGGGTGCTTCGGGTAAATATGCAGGGCCGATGACGCACAGACAGTGCCCTAGGGGCTCTGCAGCGCGGGTCGCCCCGGACCTGGGGTGTCCAGAGCTGCTGCGGGGGCTCACGTTTTATGGAAGGAGATGGAGGCTTGGGCATTTAGAAGTGGGCCTGACCCAGCCTGCGGGAGGCCTCCTGCCCCAGCACCCCACGCAGGCCTTCAGTGCCTGACCTTCGGGTAAGAAGACGGCGCTGGAGAAACCGGGCCTGGGGCCCTCAGACCCCAGCCTGCCTGGCCAGCGCCCCACTGTCCACAGCACGCCGCCCTGAGCCACCCCTCCACGGGCAGACACCACGCCCTCTGGGGGGCCCTGTGTCTTCGCCCCACCCTAGACCCTCTCCACTGGCTGGGCTTGGGTCCCAGGGACACACACAGAGCACCCGCTCTGCGAAGAGGCTGCTGAGCCCTCATCTCCCGTCCAAGGGGCGAAACCCCAGCCTCTGGCAGCCATGGGGCCCAGGGGGCCGTCTCAGGGAGGAGACTTTACCTTGAGTCCGCCACAGAGTGGACAAGCCGAAAAGAAAGCGGGAGGCGGCCCCGCGTGGGGGCTGCTGGCTTCCCAGGGCTCGGCGGGGGAGGGGCTGGCCTGTGCGGCCTCGCTGCCTGGGGCCTCTGTCGCCTGTCCCTGTCGCTTCGTGCCCAGCCAGCTGGAAGGGCAGCCCGCAGACATCTGGCTGCCCAGCTCTGCCGCCGAGCCCGGGTCAGGGCCACCCTGGGAAGCTGGGCTCTGGTCCCCAGGTGCTGGGCGCAGGCTGCGGGGCGTGTCGTAGTGCGGCCGCCGGGGCGTGGGCACCTGGTACTCGGCCGCCCCAGGCGGGCAGGCGCACAGGCCGGGCTCAGGTGCCCCAGCTGCCGGCAGTGGCAGGCTGAGCAGCGAGCCGAGGTCCTCACCAGCCCGCCACATGTCCAGGCTGCTGCCTGCATAGGACGAGAAGCTGCCCGAGTAGGAGGAGTGGCTGCCGGTGGCAATGCCGCTGTCTGAAGAGCTCTGGCGGCCAACTTCCTGCAGCTGCCGTGGCCGCAGCGGCTTGGGAGGTGGCCTCGAGGTGCCCAGCCCAGCCTCCCCTGGGGCCTGGGCAGCCGCCAGCCCCAGGCCCTCCTGCGACGTGCTGGCTGAGGACGAGAACTGCTCAGGCCAGGTGGCGAGCCGGCTGCTGGTGCTGATGTCTGAGTGGCTGGCCTCAGATGAGGAGCTGGACAGGCTGCGGTCGTCCCCTGCGGAGAAAGGGAGCACAGCTGCAGGGGAGCAGGGACAGCTCTCCTCAGACACCAGAGCAGAAATCCAGTGTCTCCCAGACATTCCCCTCTTGGCCACTACCCTGGTCCCAGCCCTGTCCTCTACCCGGTCACCCTACCCCAGCATGCCCCGCACCAGGAGTTCTCCCCGAACCGGCCTGAAGCGGCCTTCTCCCTGCTTCCTGCCCTCTGCACTGTGAGCTGTGAGCGTTCTAGGTTTCCCCTTCCTTGCACCCCGGCTCCACATCCAGCCTTGCTGACTGCCTTCCAGCCGCAGGGCCTGGCTCTCCGGCCCTCGCCCTCCCTTGACACCTCTCCCTGCCTTCTGGCTTCCCTCCCTTCGGGGCCATGAGGCCCCTGAGGACAAGAAAAGGCCTGGGATTCAAGACCATCCCACTGCCCCCCACCAGGCAGGCCACGCCTCCCTCTGTGCCTGTGGGAAATCCATGTTTATCTTTGCTTCCTCCACTCAGCCTGCACACCAGCAGCAACCCCCCAGGAATGCAGAGAGCTCACTGCAAGCCCGAGAATTCTTACTTCAGGGGCCACTGCACGGGAGGGGAGAGGCCACTGTCCCTCCATGAGCCCCAGGAGGCAGGCAGCAGAGGGCACTGGCAGGGCCAGAGGGCTCCTGCCTTCCGGCCTGGGAGACTCATGCGCTGCAGCAGCCATGCACTGGGTGCAGCCCCTTCCACCCATCTTCCCTGATGGCAGCCAAAGAGGGCCAGCTCCTGGCCAGCAGCTCTGCTGCCCCTCTGAGAGTAGACCTGGCTGGTGGGTAGGGGAAAACCAAACCCAGTTCACCCACCATTCCCAGTATGTGCCTCCTGCCAGCATTTAATAAAGGTTTGTGTGACAGTGAATGAGTAAGTACATGAATGAATGAACAGGAAGGTGAATGAATTAATAGAGAATGAATGCATGAGCAGCAGGGAAAAGGAAGGATGGGATGGATGGATGGATAGATGGATGGATGGGTGGATAGGTGGGTGGGCAGATGGATGGGTGGATGGGTAGATGAATTAATGGATGGATGAGTGGGTGGATGGGTAGGTGGATGGATGGATGGATGGATGGGTGGATAGATGGGTAAATGGGTAGATGGATGGGTGGGTGGGTGCATGGATGGGTGGGTGGGTGGGTGGATGGATGGATAGATGGATGGGTGGGTGGGTGGATGGTTGGATGGGTGGATGGGTGGATGGATAGGTGGATGGATGGATGGGTGGATGGATGGATGGATGGATGGATGGGTAGATGGGTAGATGGATGGGTGAGTAGATGGATGGATGGATGCATGGATGGGTAGGTGGATAGATAGATGGATGGATGGGTGGATAGGTGGGTGGATGGATGGATGGGTAGATGGATAGATGAATGGATGGATGGATGGATGGATGGATGGATGGATGGATGGATGGGTAGATGGGTAGATAGATGGATGGGTGAATGGATGGATGGATGGATGCATGGATGGGTAGGTGGATAGATGGATGGATGGGTGGATAGGTGGGTGGGTGGGTGAATGGATGGGTGGATGGATAGATGAATGAATGGATGGATGGGTGGATGGGTGGATGGATAGATGAATGAATGGATGGATGGATGGATAGATGGATGGGTGGGTGGGTGGATAGATGGATGCATGGATGGGTAGGTGGATGCATGGTTGGGTAGGTGGATAGATGGATGGATGGGTGGATAGGTGGGTGGGTGGATGGGTGGATGGGTGGATGGATAGATAAATGAATGGATGGATGGATGGATAGATGGATGGGTGGTGGGTGGATGGGTGGGTAGGTGGATGGGTGGGTGGGTAGATGGGTGGATGGATAGATGGATGAATGGATGGATGGATGGATGGATGGATGGATGGATGGATAGATGGGTAGATGGATAGATGGATGGGTGAGTGGATGGATGGATGCATGGATGGGTAGGTGGATGGATAGATGGATGGGTGGGTGGGTGGATGGGTGGATGGTGGATGGATAGATGAATGAATGGATGGATGGATGGGTGGATGGGTGGGTGG